CGCCGCCCGCGCCGCCCTTTGTGTGGGCCCGCGGCGCGGCCCCGAGCGCGGCCCGCGCGCCATGGACGCCGCTAGGATGGGCTCGGTGCAGCTGCAGAACCCGTGCCACGCCGCGGGGCTGCTGCACAAGGCCAACCAGATGCGGCTGGCGGGCACGCTCTGCGACGTGGCCATCCTGGTGGACGGGCAGGAGTTCCGCGCGCACCGCACCGTGCTCGCCTGCACCAGCAAGATGTTCGAGATCCTCTTCCACCGCAACAGCCAGCACTACACGCTCGACTTCCTCTCGCCCAAGACCTTCCAGCAGATCCTCGAGTACGCGTACACGGCCACGCTGCAGGCGCGCGTCGAGGACCTCGACGACCTGCTCTATGCCGCCGAGATCCTCGAGATCGAGTACCTGGAGGAGCAGTGCCTCAAGATCCTCGAGACCATCCAGGCGGCCGACGAGCCCGATGCCGAGGCGCCCGATGCCGACGCCGATGCCAGGAGGCCGTGCGGCCCCGCGGGCACCGCGCACGAGGCGACGAGCGGCACGCAGAGCCCTGCGGCGAGCGCGGCGCCCGCACCCATGAGCCCCACGGCGGCGGCCGTGGACACCCTCATGAGCCTCGGGCCGTCGCTGCTGCAGGGCGCCGCGCAGCGCGAGGAGGCGCTGAGCGGTGCCAGTCCCCCGGGCGCCGAGCGCCCCGACGAGCGCGCCAAGGAGGGCCCGGGCACGCCGACCCGCGGCAGCGTCATCACCAGTGCCCGCGGGCTGCACTACGGGCGTGACGAGGGTGCCGAGGCGCCCGGCGAGGCCGCCGCGGGGCTGCCTGCCGCGGCGCCACCCGCGCTGTACGCCGTGCTGCCCAAGCACAAAAGCGACTCTGCGCTCGGCGGGCCGCCCGCCGGGGCGCCCGCGCTGCACGTGCCGCCCGCGCTTGCCGTCTCCGTGGACCTGGGCGCCTACGGCGGGCTGCTGCCCCAGGCCTTCCTGCCGCGCGAGCTCTTCAGCAAGCTGGGCGAGCTGGCGGCGGGCATGAAGCCGGAGGGCCGCGCGGCGGGCGACGCGTGCGGCGCCTGCGGAGCTGAGCTGCCCGACAGCGACGCCGTGGAGCAGCACCGGTGAGTGCCGGCGCACGCGGCTCGGGCTGGGCGCTCGCGGGGCTGCTCTGGTGCTTGCGCTGCGCGTGGAGCGGCACGCGACGGGGGCACTGCCTGCGTGGGGGGCTGTGGGCAGCCTCGTGGGGCGCGTTCTGCTGCTGAGTGTGCCCGGCGGCGCTGGCTGCCGTCCGCACCCCACCGGCCTTTCAGCGGCTGGACTGTTGGAGGGAGCGCGGAGGGGACTTGCCGGCAGAGAGGGCTGTGCTAACGAGTGTGCCGAAGCGAGCGCCGTGTTGGAGCGCTCGCCAGAGCAGCTGCGCTGCGTGCGGGGCCAGCGGGTGTGCGGGATAGCGCGCGGGCAGCGTCGGTGCCTTAGTGCAGTGCACGCAGTGTCCCCGAGCACAGCACGCATGGCCGGGGGTGTCCCCCTYGGGCACGCACAGCGGAGCCATCCCCAAGTGCCCGTGCCACCTGCGGCTCCAGGAGAGCCCGGGGGCTGGAGAGCCCCGTCCCCCTTTGTGYGGCACCGTGTCCTGAGTCCCAGCACGGGCAGCTCCCGGCATGCRGGAGGGGCCAGCGGCTCCGCTCCGGTCGGGGGTGACGCAGCCTGAGCGTGACCCACGCGGAGCCGCAGCGGGTGCCCGGCGCGAATGCTAACGCGGAGCGCGCTGCGAGGGCCAGCACGGAGCTGTGCAGGGGCTGTGTGCCCTGTGCCCCGCACGCGCCGCGTGTAGCTGCTCGGCGGCCACGGCTCCCTCCTCGCGGCGTGCGCGGGGTGGCCGTGCGCTTCAGCGAGCCGCGCGCTGCGARCGAGCACAGGGCTCCACGCGCTCCCCCGCAGTGCAGCCGGCAGCAAACTTTGCTGCTGTGCTCGCCGTCGGAGCAGATGCCGCTGCCGCGAAACTTTGCAGCYGGAGCCGCTGAGCTGCGTCTCTCCCGGGGGCTTGAGCCTGTGGCGAGAGATGCCGGGCGGCAGTCTGGGGAACGCAGTGAAACCCCCCGTYGGCACGGGGCCGGGTGTGCGCAGGGCAGCTCTGCGGTGACGGTGCGTGCGGTGCGGCGCAACACGCGGTGGAAACGAGGGGGCTCCGGCACAGCGGTGCCGCAGCTGCGGGGCTGCACCCGTGCGGTGCAGGCTGCCTGGCAGGCGCCCCGAAACGCTCACCGCTCCGCGCGCCRCCCCGCCGAGCGCACTCGCTCTGGCTGAAGGAGCGTGAACGGGGCTGCTGGCTCCGCTTCGCTTCAAGGAGAGGTTTCCTGGCGGCCCCGTGAAGTGCAGCGCTGGGCTCCCGAGGGGCTCGCTGCCACGAACGGGATGCTGCTGGATGAGGGCAAGCTCAGCGCCCTGCCCGAGACTGGGCACGTCGCGGACAGCCCGGCACCGCGCACAGCACCAGTGCCCTGGACGTGGTGGAGCGGGTGGCGCGGCTGCAGCAGCGCTTGCCCAGCCACGCAGGGCAGGCGCCAGGGCCCCGTCCTCCCACCCTGGCCGGCGAGCGGAGGCCGGGGGGAGCCCCCGCGCGCCGCCCGTGATTGTTTCCAGAGTTCGGGAGACAAGGGGGCAGCTCCAGTTTCTCACTTATTAGTGGCACCTGGCGCCCTGAGCGGCTAATGGGAAGCAGGGCGCGCGGCGGCCGGGCCGCAGCGCTCGCCCCGCGCCGGAAATGAGGGCCGCGCTGCGAGCCGCGCGCTGACCCCGTGCGCTCCCCGGGGCCGCGCAGGATGCCGGGCATTTGGGGCGCGCTCTGCTTCTCGTCACGGCGCCCAGGGCTTTGCCGCGGCCTCGTGCCCGATGCGCTGGGCGCGTAACCGTTTCCATGCCCTGTGCGCAGCCCCCCGCACTGCGGCGCGTGCTGACGGGGGCGTGGGTGAAAGCGGCGCTTATCACTGGAAAAGTGGCGTGCGCGGCTGCGGCGTCCCAGGGCCGCTGGTATCGACCCACGCGCGCTGCTCTTCCTGCCCGCGCGGGTGCCGAGCGGTGCCAGGGGCTCCTGGCGAGGTGTCGGTGCCAACTCGCTCGCCGCTTCCCCAGGGTTCAGCAATGCCGCAGTTTGCTTGGACTGATGCTATGTGCTCTGCTCCTTCTTGCCTTTTTATGTTTTTTTTTTTTTTTTTTTTTTTTTTGCTTTTTGCCCCTCTCCCCCCTTGACAGCTTCAAGAGGGGCTTTAAATGAGTAATTACTAAATATTTCCCGGCAGCCAAACACGGGGCCACGGCATCTCCTGTTGCCGAAGTGAAAAATATTTCTGTTTGCAGTTAATTTTAGTGGCAGGCAGATCACGTTAACTGGCTGTAATTGCTTCCAGATATGGCCCAGGGTTTTGTGTGTTGGGATGAAGGGCCCGGTAAGTGCTCGCTTCCTGTGTAAATTAGCCTCTTCCATTGCGCGCGGCCCTGCCTTGTGTCAGGCTCCCCCCGCGCGCGCGGGCTGCGCGCCGGGCCGGCCCTGCCGTGCCGCTCACGGAGCGCGGGCCCTTCCTGCCCTGCGCGGCGGCGCCCCGCACCTCTCCCTTCCCCGAGCTCCTGCTGCGGCGCCCGCTGTGCTCMGGGTGCCCGGGGGCTGTGGGGCGAGGGCGCCCCAGCTCCCTGCCCCTGCGGGCGGCCAGGCGCGGCGGTGAGCGGAGCACCCGCTCCGGCCTCATGGGTGCAGGCCAGTGCGCTCTGTGCCGTTTTCAACTGATTCTAAGGAGATCATGGCTGGCAAGGGGTCCCTCTGTGCTAGCTTGCTTTCCCATTGACCTTCCTCATCTGGTTGGCGCTTGGCTGTCGCGATCTTGGCCAAGCGATGCTGCAAGCGGCCGCGCTGGCTGCGCCTACCTGGGGCGTGCTCGTACCTGCGCTCCCTTCGGTGACCTACAAAGCCGGCACAAATGTGCGAGTGGAAAACAACGCCCGCGCTCCTGCACCCGCCAAACCCCCGACCGCTTCCCCCGGCGGCCTACGCGGAAGGAGGGCGCCGTGGGCGGCCGCTCGGGGTGGCGCTGGGGCTGCGGGCAACGCTCACAGCTCCAACGCGGCCCTCATTTTCGCTGCGCGGGCGCCCCTGCCCCAAGAACCGCTTTGCTCCAGGAGCGTGGTGCTGCCGCCGTGGTGCCCGGCGTGCGCTTTGCCCTCCACAGTGCTCYGGGACAGCTCGCGCTGCCTTGGGAGCATGCAAGGGGCCTCTGAGCGCGGCACTTCGAGGAAATGAGGTTGAACCGCAGCCCGAGCGAGCGCTCGGGGGAAAGGCTCCCTGGTGCGCCACCCACGGGAGCACCCTCGCAGGGAGCGCTGACGAGCCGGCGTCGCCTCTGGGGATGCAGCGGCTGCGGCGCCTATCGATCCCTGTACCCGTCGCCGCAGGTGCCTCGTCCCTCTGTGTCCGTGCAGATGGGACTCACGGCAGGGCAGGCTGCGCACAGCACTTTCCCGCGCAGTCCTTAGGGCGTTATTTGGGCCTGGCATGGTCATTGGAGGCCCCAGCCCAAGGGACACGTCCCCCTTGGCCAGCACTCCCGCAGGAGCTGCAGGCAGAGCCACGGTTGCTGCACAGAAGCTGCTCGCTGCGCTGCTCACTGTGCTGTGGTTTGCCAGCGCTGTGGCCTCCCCACGAGCTGGCCCCTCGTTTCCCCCTGCTCTGCACGCACCGGGGCGCCCGGTTAGACCTTGGGCGGCAGCGGCTGCCTGCCCTGCCCGGGCTGCTGCATAACGCAGGGAGCATCGTGTGTGGAGCTCCCTGACAGGGCTCGGGGCCCATGGGCAGGACCACAGGCAGGATGAAGGATGAGAGAAAGGGGATCCACAGGAAGGGGCGCCGCGCCGGTCACCCTGCGTTGGTGCCTGTGCATGAGCCCCAAGCTCATGTGTCTGTGCCCGGGGCCGGCTGCTCGCTGCGCCCTGTGCCTGTGCGCACGGAGAGGCCGTGCACTCCTGGCCGCAGCTGCGGGGGAAGCGAGGAGCAAAGTGCGCGGCGGTTCGCACAGGGCAGCGCCACGGGCAGCGCGGGGCCCAGCGCGCGACTTCCCCGTGGCAGCGCCTTGTCCTTGCAGGGGCGGCCTCGCAGTCTGTGCGACTTCTGCGCCTCCCAGCCGCTGGTAAGCGTTTCGAGTGTGTTGCCGCTGATAGGTTACCTTTTCTTTCCCTGTAGGCTGTAATTAGTGTCCTTTTACCCAGAATTGGCTTCGAATTGGATTTGAGGAAGATAAGAATCAAATTACCAGTATTTATCTTGTAAATTCCACGAGATCTGCTGCAAGGCGCTGCGCCCAGAGGGCTGCGTGTGAGCACTGCGCTGGCTGCAGCGCCGGGAGCTGCGCGGCGGGACGGGCGTGCTGCGGGCGGCACCACGGGCAGTGCGGGGATGCAGCGCCGCCGCTCCGGTGCGTGGAGCCGGCCGGCGTCGCGGCGCACGGGATGGCTGCGCGCGGGCCCTTCCCGCGTGCTCCGTTCGGGCAGAGAGGGAGTGTGCGCGTGGGCAGCCGGAGAAGCCGGGCCATTTCCTCATCACCTACACGGTTGCAGTAGCAGTTTAATCGTGAGCAGCTCCTTGCAGTGCCCCGGCACCTCTTTAGCGCTCTGAGGAGCCCAACGAGCACTGGAGGCAACAACCAGAGTGGGGGGCAGGCCTGCGTGCGCCGCGGTGCGGGCGCCCGGCCCGGTGCCGCTCCCGTAAATATTTCAGGCACCCTCGGCCGAGCCCGCCCTCCTTGCAGTAAATTACATATTAAAGTAGCCTGGTAACTGAGCACTGGTTGCTGCGCGATAAGGGCTGGGAAATCAATATGTTTGCCATGTGCCTGCTTGTTTATGACACCTGCCTGCCGAGCACTTGAGCAATGCTCTGTTTGCCGAGGCCGYGCTCCGGAGGCTCGCGGCCTCGGCGAGCGCTGGCCATCGATCCGTGCGCCCTGCGCGCACCGCCAAGGAGGAGCGGGCTGGGGGCCTCCGCTGCRGAGCGGCCGCGACGGGCGCACGGCCGTCGGGATAGGCGGGACTGGGGAGGTGCAGAGGCGCGGACGCGGCTTGCAAGGCTTACGCAGAG